CCATCTCCTTTCACCAGACCCCTCTAGACTAGATGAAAACTATTCAGTGGGGATTCTACCTTCCCCTGCACACTCTGAAACTAAACTCTCTCTTGAAAACTTGTAAGCCAGTCACTTCATGTCTTTATAGCCCTTCCATTTTAGGTAGCCAATGTCTAAATTGCCCATCCTTATCTACTCTATATACAGAAGGGATAGGATTGGTACTTGATGTGAAGACACCTTCCCTCTCTGTAACAAATGGAGTGCATTTAACACATACCAAATGGGTGTCTGTGCCTTCCTGGGGTTGTAAAAACTTCTAACATATGCAGAAATGACCTTATGCCCTGCTGCCCAGCGGCTGACAGCCACGTGGCTGTGACTTGCTCTGCAGTTTACCAAGCACAATATTGCAATTTAGAAAATTCTCCCATAATTGTTTTAATACAGCCTCTGTAAAGAGCAGCTCAGTGACATTTTCAACAGTTGACTTGACTCTTGAGCTTGTTAAAACAATGAAGAAAAAACAAAACGTTCCCGTTCCTAGCCTGAGCCCTGGCAAGTTAAAATAGCTCTTTTGATATGTATTCAATATATATTTATTTTATTCTGCATCTGAATAGTAGGAGAAAACAGGAACAGAGATTGGTTTTTTTTTTTTAATTCCAGTGCCCCACCCCCACCCCTGCGCCATTATGTACAACAGCTGCTGTTTTGGAAACACATTTTGCAGCCTACAGAAATCAATATGTCACCTTTATGAAGGTGACTTCAGAACGTCTCTCCACCTGTTATTCTTGGGGTCCTTTTAAGCAAGAACAGTTGTTCTTCGTCTTGTGAAGCCTTCCCTAAGAAAGATCAGGTGGCTGCTCCGTGGTGAGACCTATGGTCTTTGCCTGTCATCCTCACAAAGGGTTTTCGCAGCCCTGTTCTCGTCTCTCCTTCCTGATGTTTGTGCGACCCAGTGAACACCTGCACCCACAGAAAGCCATGTTTGAAAGCTTGCAGGTGTTAGCATAGCACAGTGCTGGTCTCATGGAACCTTGCTCTCCGTGGGGGCTATGGAACGGTGATGTTGACTTTACTGTGATACGCTGCCCACCCTGCTCAGGAGCCCTGCAGTGGTTAAAGCACTCAACGGCTTCCCTGAAGGTTGATGGTTGGAACCCATCTAGCAGCTTTGCAGCGGGGAGCCAATCCGTTTCCCAGAAAGGTCACCACCTAGGAACCCCTGTGGGGTCAGTGCTACTTTGTCTGCCAACAACAGTAACACACCCTAGCTTTATTTCTGTTGCAGCTCAAACTCATCAGCCACTCCTCGGAAACCCTATACAGAGTCACTGTGAGTCGGAACCCCAAATAAACCAGCCCCCTGCTAACTCACAGGACACAGTAGAACTGCGCCATGGGATACCCGAGGCTGTCAACCTTTAGGGACACAGACTGCAGCTAATGTGTTTGAACCTCTGATCTTTTGGTTAGCAGCCGAGCGCTTTAACCACTGCGCCACCAGGGCTCCTTTCCGAACCAGGCAAGTGGGCGCCCAGTGTTCCCCTAGCACAGTGGTCTTTGGGGGTCTGTCCAGCAATCAGTACCCCGCTCTCTCAGCTTCCAGCACCCTCTCTGGCTGATGGGTCACTCTCCCTGCAAACCTGCACTTTACCCATGTGTGCTGGGTATAAACTGGCCTAGTGCTGTCCTGTGTTTGTCCTCCCGTGGCTTGGAGGGAGCACACCAGCCGCCCCACACGG